TTTAGGGTTTAGGGGACTATATAGGGTACTACCATACGGGTTGTAAAGGGGGATACTAGGAGTTTAGACTATAGCTCATATGAGAGGGAAGCAGTGTTGTTTGGAAACCTCCAAACTGGACAAGGCCGCGGATTAGGATGTCATGTTGCTCTCGTTCTTCGTATTGCTTCCATGTGCTTCTCCTACTGGCGCTGCTCACCAATGCCCACAAGAATTGCAGACTGTACTCTGCCAGTCGGAGGGCTAGACAGAGTACTTCAAACTCAAATACCTAAGCCATCGACCCTGAACCAGAAATGGTGGTTTCCCAAAATAAAGGGTACCCATTAGACCCCCAAAATACTATATAATCCTTATTATAGAGACCCTAAAATGGTAGCCCTGATTTTGGGAAACCCCCAAATAAACCCTGTAGCTCCTAGCACTGAACCAGCTGCAAGTTTCACCCAATGCCATTTGAGTAGTGTTTTTTTGGTGGTTGAACCTAGTAGGATTATATTCCTTATATAAAATACTAGACCCCAAAAGGAGGATATAATCTTACTCTATAATGGGTACCATAGTATCCCCAAATAAAATACTGCTCATTTAATTTCCCAGAAGGCGACCTGGAGCAAGGTCCTGCCGATGCCCACACTACCCCCGGTTTAGGGTTTAGGGTTTAGGGTTTAGCGTCATCAGAAGGATAGTGACTACAGGACTCGATCCAATTTACGAAAATCATCTACAGCAGCAATCACCAGAAACCCTTAACCTAAACCCTAAACCCTATCACCATCCTCTAAGTACTAGGTACGCCCCAGGGGCTTAAGGAGCTAATATGGACTATATGGAGCAGAGTTAGGCCTGGTAGGATTTTAATAACCCCTAGAATGCTCCCCTGTACAATCCCCCATATAACCCCCTTAAAGGAGTTTAGACTAGAGCTCATACCTAAAGTGGGATAGCATTCCCCCGAGCCCCCCTAAACCCTAAACCCTAACCCCCTGAACCCTTAACCCTAAACCCTAAACCCCTGAACCCTTAACCCTAAACCCCTGAACCCTAAACCCCTGAACCCTAAACTCTAAACCCCTGAACCCTGAACCCTAAACCCCAAACCCCTGAACCCTGAACCCCTTAACCCTAAACCCTAAACCCCTGAACCCTTAACCCTAAACCCCTGAACCCTTAACCCTAAACCCCTGAACCCTTAACCCTAAACCCCTGAACCCTTAACCCTAAACCCCTGAACCCCGGAACCCTAAACCCTAAACCCCTGAACCCTTAACCCTAAACCCCTGAACCCCTGAACCCTAAACCCCTGAACCCCTGAACCCTTAACCCTAAACCCTAAACCCCTGAACCCTATGCCTTGACACCAGTGGTTCCAAAAGTTCGGCCATGCGGGAGCCCAGGAGTTGGGAGCCGGCAGCTGTGAAGTGAACCCCGTCTCTCTCCCACAGTCCTTTAAAGGGTTTAGGGTTTAGGATTTAGGGTTTAGGATTTAGGGTTTAGGGTTTATAGGGATTACTTTAAAGCCAACAGTCCTTGTAGCAAGCCCTGAAGCCAAATCTTTAAAGGGTTTAGGGTTTAGGATTGAGGGTTTAGGGTTTAGGGTTAGGATTGAGGGCCTAGGGTTTATAGGGATTAGTTCAAAGGTTCAGGGCAATTACAGCGCAAGACTGGAGAACTACATGGAAATGAGATGGACACTAGAAACTTATTGGGGTTGGGCTTAGTGACGATAACCCAATGTTGACAGATACTTCTAGCCCAAATATGACCTTATTAGGGGACTTAGGGCATGTTACAACTGGGTTATGATTACCCTGAACCTCCAAGTAGGGTCTAGAACTTAGGGCCCCAGGTCCTTTAGCAGCATGATGGGCAGCATCATGGGGATTATAGGAATATTTCTACAAGTCGGCATCGCTGCAAGTTCATGTCCCAACGAATACATTAGGGCCGAATGACTAGTTTTCATGTGTAGGTTTGGGGGCTTAAGGTTTAGGTTTCAGGGTGTTAGGGTTTAGTGTTGAACGAACCTCCCTTGAAGGCTAAAGCAGGGCAAGGAGGGACGGAGGGAAAGGGAGTCACAGACGAAGGCGTGTGAGAACGTTTACAGTTTACAGCTTTAATATGAGCTATGGTCTAAACTCCTTAAAGGGGGTTATATAGGGGATTGTATAGGGGACTACCATAGGGGTCATTAAGGGGGATACTAGGAGTTTAGACTATAGCTCATATGAAGTGGTGGGCGGGCAGCAGCGGCAAAGGCAGCATGGGAGGAAGCTTGCTTGGAATAATCAAGCCTCATGAGAGAGCTTCTTCTTCCAGACTTGTCGTCTGTAACCATAAGAAGACTAATCATAATGTTAAAAATAATAGTAGTAAAAGTGGCAGCAATAAGAGTAATAATGGTAATACTGGTAGTAGCACTCTCCATCAGTTTCGCAAGCACTTTTAAGTCAATGGAGTGCAAGACAACTAGGAGGATGAGCAAATCTTCTGCACTGTTTTCCCTCCAACTGAACACATCATGGGCCCCATGGTGTTTATTGGGTTAGAGTTTAGGTCCCCCAAATTGGACACCAAATGTATACACTCACCAATCTTCCTAATGAACCCTATATACACTCACCAAAGGCCATAGTAAGACCCTACTTATACGCCAAAGCTAGCCCAGACTCCTGCTTGGCGACTCTTTGGGCCAAAGGGCATGAGACCCACGGTGTTGATGAAGAGCTCAGGCCCACTGAGTCCGACCCCATTGCGGGCCCAGTGGGCCAAGGACTCATTGACTGCCTGCTTGCGCGCTACGAGCCCGCGGCCCAAGCGGGCTACTCCCCTGCCTCCGGCATCTGGGATGCCAAGAGCAACAGTCCGCACACCAGCGCTGTGGCAGACTGCATGAAGCCCACGCACAGCAGCGAAGATCTCATCTGATGGAGTAGGCTGCGCCAGATCATTGGTGCCTACCATGAGCAAGACAAGATCCACGGTAGTGCCAGAAGAGTGTAGGAGCGGTAAGAGCCCGGAGCCCCAACGACTTCCCAAGGTATCCAGTACCAATGGCTCCTCCACTGCTGCCAGCATCTGATGTGCAGTGGAGGCGCAAAGGCCACAAATGGTCGCATGCACCTGATATCCTGAGCTTTGCAAGGATTCACACAGAAAGTCTTGATTGGGACTTTCAGAGCTTGCTTTTGTATACAGCATCTCACCAGAAAGTGAACCTGCAAGTTGAACTTAGGCACCCTTGGATTCCAGAGACTGACAAAGGGCCTCCCCGAAAGGGGTAAAAGAAGGAGCCCCCGCCGTCAATGAGTCTCCATAAATCAAGATGCGAAGACCTTCAGGGGGGAGGGGGGTTATAGGGTGTGGGGTACCCTAAACCCTAAATCCTAAGCCCTACACCCTAAACCCTAAACCCTACCCTAAACCATCTATAAAGGGTTTTATAGAATGCAGGCTCAGGCTGTACAAGAAAAGGTGGAACACCCTGCAAAGCTATGTGTGTCAGAGCTTGCAGTAAGCGGCTTACCTCTGAAGCATTCCGCCACTGATAGTTTTGAGTTACAAAAGAAAGGGCATTCATTTCTAGAAGCCTGGAGAATGTCAATGTATCATTACCCCAATATGCTATAATGATATACTAAAATAGACTATGTTATACTATATTATACTATTGTATTTATACTATTTTATACAATATTCAACTACATTCTACGATATTATATTGTATTCTACCATACCCACTTCACATCACTTGACTAAATACAAACTGCCTGCTTTGTGCGCCGATGGGACTTGTACCAGAGCGCTCTGTCTGTCAGGCGGCACTTGCCTGAGGATTCGCATCGCTCTACGCTTCCGGGCTTCGACCGACTGCGCAAGCTCAGCCCAGATTCGCTTCACGACCTGTTACAGAAGTCTAGGCTGCATTTAGGTCCAGGAAGTCTGGCAGCTGTTGAACTGCTTGCTGAGCCGGCGAAGCTAAGGCAGAAAGCAACACATGAGACATGTACCGCCCTCGTGTGCAGCACCAGGCTTCTAAGACCACAAATCTGCACAAGCATCCAAATACTGGGGTAATAATTGGGTTATATTTGGGATTATATAAGGATAATGGAAAAGAACATGGAAGCTACAATAGTATTATGTGGTTATATCGGTATAAGGGTAATATTCTGTATCGGTAATGGTGTTCACCCCACGCTCAATCTCGACAGGTGCTTTTCCAGTTTGGTTTACTGTTCCCAAAATGGGGGGGGGATGGGGGGGGGGAATAATGTAGGGACACGTATTGTAGCAAAAAAACACTATAGGGAGAGGGTTATAATCAATTAAGGGAAATACCCTGAACTCTAAACATCCCTAAAACCTAAACGTCCCTAAGCCCTAAACCCTGAGGCCCTCACTGGTGGAGGCGCCTCCACCTTCCCAAGGGTCCGTAATGGCTTCTGGTGTTGGTAACTGGATATTGGGTTTTTTTAGGATTTGGGATCTAAGGGTCTAGGGGCAACATCACGGAAGGCAAGTTGCAAAAAGTAGGGTTTAGCGTTTGGGGTTTGGGGTTGAGGATCTAGGGTTTGGGGTTTAGGGTTCGGGTTTAGGGTTTACGATTTAAGTTTATCTAGGGATTCGGATCTATGGGCTTAGACAACTTCAGCATCTGGCCTGGACTCTGGGAAATATGGACACGTTCCCTCGAGGATCGTGGACCACCACAGCTTGCCTCTCAGGGAAAGGGAGGGATTGGTACATCCTTGCCTAGAATCTACTTCCCACCAATCCTAGACCCTAAACCCTTTAACCCCAAACCCCTCAACCTTGAATCCCTAAACCCCTAAACCCCTAAACCCTGGAAGGCAGTAGAAACAACTCCAAGCTACGAGTTTGTACAGCAGCGGCTTCTCCTAGCTCCAGCTGCCACGGCATTATTGCTAGATGGTCGTAATCATCCCATCCATGGGCAAATATCTAATAAAGGATTTGGGTAACCTCAACCCCCAAAAGTAGGAGTCTATGATTAACATATGTTCTAATTTTAGGGATTGGGGTTACCAAAATACTTTCATTTTATGGGCAGCCAAACCCTCAACTCTCACAGACACAGTCTTTCAGGCGTACAGAGCTTACTATGATTGCTCAGTTCCCCAGTAACCCCTTAATAATAAGGGTACCCTTTTCCAAATATTCAGCTTTAACCAGAAAACCCAAAATAAAAAGGGGAAAAGGGTACTACTGGGGTACCTTGATTAGGCCATGGTCATCGCCTTAGGAAAACGTCACCAAGGATCCAGGCGGCCGTGTCCTGCAATTCACTCACATGACAACTTTGTGACTCTTCGAAGGCAATGGCGCATGCCTGGTTAGTGAGGAACCGCAGTGTGCCTGAAATTGCTCACTGGGGCTATCTAAGATGGGCTGTTCTCAAAATTATGGGCACCTTTGTTATAGATTATATGACGGCACCTAATAAGGTACCAAAATAGGACCCTACTTTTGGGAACTACCC